TTTGACATTATTGTTGCCAGACTTTCGAAATGAGTGTGACGTACAGACGCAGACGTACACTATTTTCGATAGCAAAAATTGTAGTATTCTTAAACCATTAAAAAATTCATTTACATCTATGCGAAACACAGTAAACAGCGGCTAATAACTTAAAGAAGCAAGCACACAACACACTCATTGTTTAACATATTATTAACACAGATATTACAGACATTTAGTGCAGCGCATCCAGCAACGACAAGTGCAAGAAAATGAGCACGTCAAATGCAAGCCGTAAGGAAACGGAGCGCACGAAATTGATACAGGAAAAATGCCAAACCCTATTAACCCAAATGCTGCGGGATGATGACAATAAATATTGTGTGGATTGTGATGCCAAGGGTAAGTTATCACTGCAACAAGATATACTCACACTTATCCATAGTGTACATACGTACTTATATACACATACATACAAAGCTTGAGTTGTATGTAAATATATGTACATATGCATATATTCATATTTATCCTCTTTAGTATTATTCAGGACTCATTGTTAAGGATTCTAACTCACACTTAGCTAACATTAAGTACATCATTTTCATTTTGTTAATGGCGCTGCACGCAATGCGAATGTTTTAAGTGTACTCCACCCCCTTTTTTTGATAGGGTCATGGACGAATTAGCGGTACAGTGAAATCGCTACATAAAAGACTGCCCTTTAATGGCAAGTTTTAGTTGATTAGTGGGCTAGGCATAGCTGGAGAATAGGCATATATGTAAAACGCATATATCAATTATTAATATGTCCACTCAGTGGAGCTTTCACTGTAACGCATTAATGCTATTGGCAGTTGTAGCTGATAATATATGAGATACACCATTTGTGGAAAGACTTTAATCATATCTAAAGTGTTGTCTGTGCACTCGCTTGAGCTTTCACTGTTGCTGATAATATTACCACTCAGCTATAGCTCTACATGAATATTTTTAGCATCATAAGTGTGGTTTTCTAGATAAGCATAAAACGAATTCTCGCCAACTATTGTTTTTAGTTCTTCGCAAATAAAAATAAATAATGATTTATTGCAGGTCCCCGCTGGGCATCGTGGAATCTGGGCGTGTTTCTGTGCATTCGATGTGCTGGCATCCACCGGAATCTGGGCGTCCACATATCACGTGTGAAAAGCGTCAATCTGGATGCCTGGACGCCGGAGCAAGTTATTTCGTTGCAATTGATGGGCAACTCGCGTGCTCGAGCTGTTTACGAAGCGCAGCTGCCGGATGGTTTTAGACGTCCACAAACAGATACGGCTCTGGAGAATTTCATACGGGCGAAATATGAACATAAAAAGTATTTGGCAAGAGAATGGGTGCCACCCTCGCCGCCCAAAGTCGATTGGGCCAAGGAGATCGACGAAGAACTGGAAAGGCAAAAGCGCAAAAAGAAAGCAGGGCAAACCGGGTTGGGCATTAGCAATATATCGAGCAACAGCGACAAGCGCATTTCGGCAACGACAGCGACGAAAAGCACACCGCTGCCAGCACCGCTGCCCAAACCAAAGCCCAATCAGGTGGGCGGCTGCAGTCCAAAGACTTCGCATCGTGTGCAAAACACCAATAGCATAAGTAGTGGTGCTGCTGAAAGTGATCTGTTGGGGCTCTCCTCGCCCACGAAGCCAGTAGCAGCGAGCGCTGTACAGGATCTGCAGAATGATAGTTTCACGAGCTTCTTGAGTGCCAGTAGCAGTAATGTGACACCGGAGAAAACGAATGGCAATGGGAATGGAATTTGTGGCGACGTCTCGCAAGCCATGCCCACCAGTCAGCCCAATTCGTTGGCTCAGCAGGAGCAAGACTTTTTCAGTCAAGGCACACTCAGTGCCGGCGACAAGGATCAGTCGGGCAAGATGTCCAAGGATAGCATATTGGCCTTGTATGGCAATGCGCCAACCACACATAACCCACAACTGAGCTTCGGTAATTTCACGGGCATGGCACCGGGCGGTTACATGCACCATCACCATCAGCAGCAGCAGGTGCCGCAACAAACGCATCATCATCAGTTTATGACACCCCCCAACTCAGTGAGCATGTATAATGCACCCGTTATGGCCGCACCAAATGCATTCAGCAATGCACCCACCGGTGGGGCGATGAATCTAGTTGGCAATGTCGCCTTTGGCGGTGGCCCATTTCCAAATGCGACCACAGCAAGCTCATATATGGTGGGCAGCAACCAACAATCAGCAAACAATCTGATGCAAACCAATCAGAGTTTGCTCAGTGGCATGCAACTGTTTGGTAATGCTGGGCCAGCGGTGCAGGCCACACCACAATCACAACCACAGCTGCAGCAGCAGCCGCAGCTTGGCATTGGTATGAATCTGATGCAGCCGCTGTCGAGCGGTTTGCCTTCCACGGGTTATCCGGCTGCAACGGGCACTACGGCCACGTCTGTGACGTCCAACTTAAATCAGCAATTTGGGAATTTAAATATTGGTAATGTTTGGCAATAAATGAGGGGAAGAGAATCTCTTCTGCTGCATTCCTTTATTGAAGAACGTTCACATATGCTGAATATACGTTATAAATTGTTAATATATAACTTTTTGTACCTACTTGCCTACGTTGTCATCGTCGAAACTTCCGTTGTATTAATAGAAGAATTTTGTATTATTGTTTATATATTTTCTGTTCTGCCACCTTCCTGTTTTTATGTTTATAATATGTTGTCAGCGACTAAAACTGCGTATACATACATACTGATATATATGTGTATATATATAGACATATACGTTCGAATTATTTGCAATTGTAATATTGGCCCATTTGTACATCCACACATCAAATATCGTACATATTTATGTAATTACTGATAACATAAGATGAATACAGCAATTGGAACATAAGATATCTGTATGCTATACTATATTCATCCAGCCATACGTATGTACGTTCCAATAATACTGAGGAAAATAAGTGAGATTCTTGTGGCTTTTGGCAAGCGTACTTGTAAGTTATATTTTATCCTTAGAGCGAACGGCATATGTATATATATGTCTTTCAATACCTAATTGAGAATCCGCAGTGTGAAATACGTATGTACTTCTATTTAATAAGTGGATACCATTTTAATAAATAAATATTCATTAAATATATAATAAACTAATTGAATTTTATGCGTATTGTGAACTGGAATGAATTTTATCTCACATGAGCCTAAGAATACTGAACCAATTTTCTTTTCCGTTTTTTAACTCTGTACATTTGATGTCCATTCAAATTTTATTCGTTTCAATAAATGAGCTGAGATGCGGTGAAAATTTCACAGAAATATTTTGTTGTCAGTTTTAAGTTTGCTTGCGAGGACTTAGTGTTGAATAATTTCGAAAGAAGCAAGGTAATTTTAGCTCCATTTTTATAAACTATCGTGAAATTGTAGTTTCTGCTGATGCACTAATATTTTCATTGAGAAAAGTAGAAGTACGAGCACTGGTTACTGTCCCACTGGGTATTTCAATGCAACCCTGCAACAATATAAATACCCTTAGCCTTTCACACCCCGCCGCCTATTGTTTTTACACGTCAACTGCAACAACAAAACTAAACTAGCTAAAATCCAAATATATGAAAATAAGTTTTGCAGATTTGAAGTATCGGAAAATTGACTGCAAGTGACATGGAGAGCGCTGAAGAGGCATCTGAAAACAATGAGCTGCGGGAGCGCAAATCGACGGGCGTTAACAGCGAGATGTCAACAAAGGAGGCATATTTTGCTAGTCTAGCCGAGTGGGCCAAACAGGCGGCACTTATGCAAATGTTTCCTAATTATTTTATGGCCAACTATAACTATTCACAATTATTGCAAGCGCCATTGCCATTCGGAGCGCCAGGCATTGAGCAGCTGTACCCAAATCGTCAGCAGCAGATTCCATTGACGCAGCCGCTGCCTCAGCAGCCTGCGCCTCAGCCAGCAGCAGCTGCCCCAGCAGCTGTTCGACCGGCCTTCAATCAGTTTCGTTTGTTGGACGATGCGCAGCAGCAGGATGTAATACAGCGACTGGGTGGAACAGAAATGGTTGTGGCACCCTTTTGGAAACGCGCCGTTGCTGAAGCAATTGATGTCGTCATCTTATTCATATTGAAAATTATTGTAACCTTTTCGCTGTTTCATGTTTTTGATCTGGACTTTGATAAGGATGTGATGCGCAAGACTTTAGAGGATGAGGATATCTTCTTGAATTTCCTAGATATTTCAATGGACTTTATCACCCTGTCGTCGGACTTAATACTAATTGAGTTATTGACAAAGCTTCTCGTCTGTTGCTATGAATGCCTATGGACGGTTTTCTATAATGGAGCTACACCTGGCAAATCGCTGATGAAGATTCGTATCCTCTATGTGGAAGCTGTAGTACCAATGCAGGCGCCGGTAATGCCACAATTTGTATTCCAGGCACAGCGAGAGCCGTTACGTGCCCTAGTCTATCCCGGTGAGACTCCAAGCTTCTTTCGAGCTTTAATCCGCGCCTTTGCCAAGAACCTGGTGATGACCCTATTATTTCCCATTTGCGTTATCATGGTCTTTTTTAAGAACAATCGCACAGCCTATGACGTAATAACAAAGACCATTGTGGTCGAAACAAATAGGAATCCAAGCCCTGTCGCAGTGCCTCCAGGACAACGACCCCATCAACAGTAGTCAATGCAATGCCAAATCTTGTATCAAATATGAAATCTGACAAAACTAATTTATATAATTTTTGTTAACGCTGAAAACTAACAGCTAATCACACACTAATTTCCATTACATTGTAAATAGATGAAATGTAAAAACAAATGTTATCCCGGAAACTTCATAGTTCTTTTATTATTCTTGTAAACTTTGGAACTGATCTAAGCATCGTTATATTATTGATTCCTAGTATAAATAAATCGGGAATTTAGTGGAAACAAAATAAAATTGAAATGTTTCAATTCTACTATAAAAGAATATAGTTTAAGAAAATGCCAAAAAATACTCAGCATCTTACTATTTATTCATAACAAAAAATTATTTGACTTGAACATTTTTCAATGATTGTGCTACAATGGTTCCTTTGCCTGGCACATGGAGTGGCGCTCCTTTATAGCAGGCCACCAGGTCCGCATTGGTCATCAAATCCGGCGCACACGTCTCAAATACTTTCTTCTTCGGATTGAGTTGAGCATCAGGTTTGCGTTCGTAGCCCTCGCAATGGACCAGATCACCAGGCACGGCTCCAGCAGGTGGACTTAGCACTTCGACCTTGTCAGGTGTAGAAGCACACATCACCATTGCCTCAGAGGTAACACCACGCATCTTGGCGGGCTTCAAATTACAGAGAACAACGACCAAACGATTTTGCATTTCTTCTAGTGGGACAAATTTTACAAGTCCAGAGACAACAGTTCGCGGTGACGGTTCGCCGCAGTCAATCTTCTCCAAATACAGACTGTCCGCGTCAGGATGACGACCGACCTCAATAATTTTGCCCACACGCAAATCCAGACGGCCAACATCAATAGGAGCTTCGGCAACGGGTTTTGGCTTTTCAGCTGGCGGTTTCTTTTCCTTTACTTTTTTTTCTTTAGGAGCAGCAACTGGAGCTGGAGCTGGAGCTTTCGATTCACTTGCTGGAGCAGCGGCTGCTGAGGTTGCTTCGGTTTGGGTGCATATTCCTCGGTTACCTGGCACCGGTATTTGTCTCTTGCCATTGCTAATTTCCAGAGCAACTAGTTGTGCCAAAGCTTTTTCAATTTCCTTCGTTAAAAATGCGTTCTCCTCAATGAGCTCCTGTTTTTTACGCTGGACGAGCTCATTCTCTATAGCCGCCATCTGTAATGAGTTGCATTTAACTTATTCGTACAGTAGTTCCTATTTATATTACCTCTTGCTGTATTGAGTCAATCAGACCTTGGGCACGTTGATTGTTTTCAACAATTTTCTGTAAATCAGCCATTTTCAAAGTTTTTCTAAACTGATCTCTAGTTAAGCTGACAGCAAATCTGCATGTGGCACGAAACATTCTTATTTGGGCTCCAGGGCTGCAACATTGAATCGATGATTTGACATTTACATTAAGAACTTAGACAGTATTTGTTCTAAGATTCAAGGATTCAACAAAATGAAGTTAATTATTTTATTTTTGTGAATTACATAAGTATTTTTTTTTTTATTAAAAAATGCATTCAATCTGCTCAATATTAAATTTATGGTTTAAAATTCGTATATATCGATAATTTATTTGGCATTCATTTAATATAATTTTCCTACAACATATCGATACAATTTGGATACCAAACGATGATGATTCGTGAGCATATATATATACGCAACAACAATTGATGCAAATAAAACTTCTTAAATATAAATAATAAGCGTAAACAGTAAATAAAGAGTGTTATTGGTTTTCAAAATGGACTACGTTTATTGTGGCGGCGCCGACCCAATCGGCGCGACAGAAGACATTTTAAGTACGTCGACCACATACATATATAAGGCAGTTACATGTATATGTGTTGTGTATTTTTTTAAAACTTTCTCCATTTTTATTTAGATACCTATATACAAGTATATATATTTATGATAACTTATATCTACATATTTAGGTGTCTATGATACTGGTCCCGCGCGTACTGCGGATCATTATTCCCCCAGTTTCAATGGATTTAATATTGGCTCCAGCGATGCGGATTATGTCGCTAGCCCAATTCCAATTCTTGCTGACGGCGGTGAAAACTTCGGTGTCTCTACTGTGGCCTTCGATGACTACGAAGAACTTCTCTGGATGGGCAACCAAGGCGTGAGGCATCCATTAACTTAGCTGACAATCTACTTAGTAATATATATATGAAATCTTCATTCGCAGGGTCATGTGACGTCGTACTATACTAGCTCCTTGCAGAAATACACATCATTCCAGGTGCATGCCAGCGATATAGTCCGTCAAATCATTACGATTGATTCGGGAGTTTTGGTATTAACACAGACATCGCTGCGCCATCAGATACGCCGGGGATTACCAAAGTTTACGCACAAGTAAATCATTGATATATGATTCTGATGCCTTCATGTTTATAGTATTTATGTCTCTTGTATTCATGTCAATCTCTTATTTTGAACAGATCCAATAATATGGTTGAAATGGTGTGCATGCTGCAGTTGTCGCCACATCGATTGGTCATGGCTGGTCTGCAGGAGGAGCTCATCGACTTTGACATGCGCACCTTGAAGGAGACGCGGCTGGAGCACGTAGGATCTGCTGGTTGCACGGTGCTTCGCAAGAATTCTCGCTATCTCTTTGCAGGCGATCAGTTTGGTACAGTCACTCTGAGAGATTTAAATACCCTAAGTGTGGAGCATACAATTAAAACGCATACAAATAGCCTATCCGACTTCGATGTGCAGGGCAATTACCTTATATCGTGTGGCTATAGTGGAAGGCAAAACAATTTGGCGATTGATCGTTTCTTAATGGTTTACGATCTGCGTATGCTACGATTGATCTCCCCTATTCAAGTGCTAATCGATCCACAAATGCTAAAGTTCTTGCCTTCGCTGACATCTCGTCTGGCCGTCGTATCGAGCTATGGTCAATTCCAGCTGGTTGATACTGTGGAACTGAGCGAGCCTCGCGTTTCTATGTATCAAATCAATACGAATGGCAGCCAATGCTTGAGCTTTGACATTAGCTCCTCATCGCAAGCGATGGCATTTGGCGATCAATCGGGGCATATTAATACAATAACCTCCATACAGACGCCACAGCCGCAATTTAATGCGTTTTCCAGAAACACAGAATTCGCAGACGTGGTGCCGCAGTTGCCGATGGTTCCCTTTGCGGATACTAATTTTCCGTTGTCCTCGGTTTTATTGCCGCATCTGACTACGGGCACACGTTGGTTCTCCGACTGGCCGGAGGAGCTCTTGCGCTATAACTATCATCGTCCAAAGGCCATTGATGCAGATGTTCTAAATAATATGAAGATGCAGGGACCGATTGGCTATTCGCCCAATCCAAGAACTGCCCGACGTAATCAAATACCCTATTGCCTGATTGAACAAGGCCAAGGCGGTGCAGGCATTCCGAATGTAAATGGCAACACGGCAGCTACGAAAGCAGAAAGCGGCGTGAAGATCATACCGAGGCGTTATCGCAAAGTGGAAATGAAATATACGAAGCTAGGCACACAGGACTTTGATTTCGAGCAACATAATCAGACTTGTTTTGCCGGACTAGAAGCCACCTTGCCCAACTCTTATTGCAATGCCATGCTGCAGGTTAAAAATTAAATTATACAACTTAAATTTGATATCTTATTAAATATTATCTCCTTGTACACATATAGATCCTCTACTTCACGGAGCCTTTGCGCATAAAGCTTATGAATCACACCTGCTCGAAGGAGTTCTGCTTATCCTGCGAACTGGGCTTCCTCTTTCATATGCTGGACAAAAGCACTGGTTGGTTTTTTGTACGCATACAAGTATACGGCTATTAGATGATGTATGCAAAAAACTTATTTATAGCTTCAACCCCTTGTCAAGCGAGCAACTTCTTGCGCTCATTTCGCACAGTGCCTGAAGCATCCGCTTTGGGCCTGATTTTGTCTGATCGATCATCAAATGTGAATCTGATTACCCTAATTCAGGCAAGTAATATATGTATTGTCYATATGTAAATAATATATTTAATGTATATTTTACATATTTGTATTTTATAGAACTGGAATCGTTTTATMTTACATCAAATGCATTATGAAATTCTCGATTCAGGCAAGAACTCTGGTATCAATGGACCACAAAATACATTATTTGGTAAATCTATTTGTAGTATATTTAAATAATTGAATATATTATCTATATTAATGTTTCAGCTGAAAGTATGTGTACAGATAGCAACTCGTCGTCAGAAGCGTATGAAACAATTGCTGGTAGGCATATATTTTATTGAACAAGTTATGCAAAATAATATATATCCAATTATGTATATTCTACAGATGATAATACGAAGGAGGAGGAAAGGGAACGTTGTAAAATTAATGCTGAAACGGATATAAGTAAAATATTTGGCACCAAACAAATATGCATAAACAGATGTATAAAATGTCAGGCAGAGGTAAAATATAGCTCATTAAATAATGGGCAAGAAGGAGGTGTGGCTGAGCTTTACAGCTAATCGATCTCAGAACTTGTTAGAGTCGCATAGATCAGGAACTCCCTCGACTTCAAACACTCTTTTATAAAATATTCAATACTTATTTATATTTTAGAAATCAAAAGAGAACATACTGTTGGCCTGCAATTTATCATATCCCACGCACCTGAAGGACAATGAACAGTATTTTGATTTTGGCAATATTTTGAAACGCTCATTGAGCTCAGAGAAAAATATTCAAGCATTTTGTGAGAGTTGCAAAAAGTTTTCGCCGACCAATCAGAGCGTTAAGGTAATTCAAACAATTAATTTCAAATTCAATTCAACTCAATTGTAAATCATTTAGGTAACATCATTGCCGCAAATACTGGCGATTAACTGCGGCCTGAATAATGAAAAGGATATTAGTTTCCTGAAACGTCAATTGAATCGCACGAGTGAGCGACCTGTTGCCGAGGCAACCTCTTTGAGCACCAGCAAACCTTGTCGCTATGGTGTCAACTGTTCTCGCAGTGATTGTCATTTTATGCATCCTGATAGGAAGTCCCCATCGCACACCAATCAAACGACCAATGTCAACAGCTCACCGAGTGCGCGTCAAAAGTCCTGGTTTCCCTTGGCCTTTAACATGGGCATCAGTGAGACGGGCGAGCTAAACGTGCTCTCGCCCACGCACGCCTCCAAATCCGAGTCAGAGGATGAGGAGCAGCAACAGCAGCAACAACAACAGCAACAGGAGAACCAGATACAAAAGATGTATGCACTGCATGCAGTTGTCTGCCAGGTGGACGATGGCACCCAGAAGAACTTGGTTTCCTTGATCAATGTGCGACCCAAGTATCATTCAATGAAGGCAGCCACTTCAGACGTGGATGAAACTCAACAGCAGTGGTATATATTTAATGATTTTAGCATTTCACCTGTTGCGCCACAAGAATCCGTGTGGTTCACATTGGATTGGAAGGTGCCGTGCGTGCTTTTCTATCGCAGTCTAGAAGACGAAGCAGAAGCAACACCAAGTACAGAAGACCCAAACCCCACGAAAAGCAGCGATTCAATCAATAGTCCAGCTAATCCATTCTTGCACGTAAGTTGAAATGATTTATATTGTATGGAATAGAAATTGATTGAATATAATGTTGGTTTTTAGGAAATTTTGAATCCGTTGCCCAACAATCTCGCCACTGATGCCACTTTACGACCCTTGCAACCGGATGAGATGCCAAAAGCAGGCGATTTAATAGCCATGGATGCGGAGTTCGTAACACTGAATCCGGAAGAAAATGAAATACGTCCGGATGGCAAAACAGCAACAATTAAACCTTGCCACATGAGCGTCGCCCGCATCTCCTGTATTCGAGGGCAAGTCTATATGCTTATATTATATTAAATTATTAATTTAATAATCTGTTCTGACTTGCAGTCAAGGTCGCGATGAGGGCGTGCCCTTTATAGACGATTATATTTCAACACAGGAGAAGGTCGTTGATTATCTAACACAGTTTTCGGGCATTAAGCCCGGCGATTTGGATGCCAATTTCAGCAATAAGCGTTTGACTGCCTTAAAGTATTCGTATCAGAAATTAAAGTTTCTTGTCGATGTGGGCGTCATATTTGTTGGTCATGGCCTAAAGAATGATTTTAGGTAAAGTTTAGAAATATGCGAATACATTTATATTTGACTTAACATATTTCATGTTGCAGAGTCATTAATATCTATGTACCATCCGACCAAATTATTGACACTGTACATCTGTTTCATCTGCCGCACCATCGCATGGTTTCATTACGTTTCTTGGCCTGGCACTTTTTAGGTAAGTAATACTATATACATATGCATAATATAATGTATATCCTAAAATGAACTTTCAATTTGGTATAGGCACTAAGATACAATCGGAAACACATGACTCCATCGAGGATGCTCGCACAACCCTTCAGCTCTACAAACACTATTTACAGCTGCAGGCTGAAAAGAAATTTACGCTCGCATTGAAAAATTTATATGATCGGGGCAAGCAATTACAATGGAAAGTGCCGGAGGACTAAAATCAAAAATGAACGACAGAAGAGACGGAGAGAAAGAGAGAGAGAGAAAATAGATCTATGCCAGTACAAACCTTCCGGCCGGCCAGCAAGAATGCGAGTTTTTAACATGTTTTTTTTTTTATGTAAATGATAAAAAAAAGAAGTAATTCCATGTAATTTTAAGTTGAATAACTGTTTACAAAGACACATGCCCACAATTAAATCAAACTTAATATATTTTCAAAAACTATTTGTGTAAGATGATAAGCTATGCAATAATTGATTATGTATACCCTGTAAGTATTGGCAATTTTGTATAGGGTATGTCAACAGTAATGAAAAGGAGTGAGTTATCTATCAGAAACTGCAATTATATTGACAACTGAGCATAGATGAAGGAAGAGTTGAGAAATATGTTAGACGAGATATAATTCAATTTGAAGTATAGAGTATTTTCTAGTTAGACTCTCTATTCGTTCAGTTCATCATCACAGGGAGTCCCACATGAATCTCGCAATGGTTTACAACCTGTTTGCAGTGCTCATTTTAATATATATATATTTATCTAGGAAAACATCTCTAAGAAGAGATGAGTATGCAAGCTGATTGTAAAACTTGTTCCCCACTAACTGAAGGTTGTTCGAGTACTTAGAGTTGATTTAACGAGCATGATTTGTATTTCATTAAAAGCAATACGTACACATACATGCATATATGTCTATGGGTGCAGTGAAACGAACTTGATCTAAGAACGATTATTGAAACTTGTTCGTTCGCTGGGTAATGCCCGATTCATACTTCTGTGTAATCAGAATCAAAGCTAATGAAATCAAGCAATATATGTATGTATATACTAAAAACATTTACTATATATGTAAATCATATATATTTGTATGGCCACATATATTTACTTATTGCATATACCATATGCATTTGTCAGTTTTCTATGATTTGCGAGATAAAATCGCATTGGGCTGATAGATCTATCAGTTTAGTTGGGCGATGTCAGTTTTAGCATATAGAGATCAAATGCCTTATATATACACCTATAAAATGGTTGTCATATAGATAGGCCGAGCTTCTGAATTTCCCAAGCTAGATTCGCTTACTTATCAAATCGAATGTTGTCGTGGTCGTCGTCGTTGGGGAAATTTTCTGCCGATTGAGAATGCATATAAATAGTGGAGGAGCTCAATGTTGATAGCATTCGATTGAAATTGGCTGTGCAATGGGTTCACAAGGGATACTTGGATTGAGCTGCGCTCTCTTGCTGTGTGCAGGTAAATGGATGAAACTACTCAACACGAAATTCAACTCTCTAAGCATATGTATATATATTGTATTGGCTTTAGTGATTAGCGCACAGCAGACCTACGATGGACGCAATGGTCCACATGTGTTCGGCCCACCTGGCCAACAGGTGTATATACGTGGCCAGAATGAAGGCCCCTATCAGGTGCCTGGAGTGCCCGGCACATTCCAGAACTCCCCTAGTTCCGGGGGATCACACAGCTACACAGATGAGGACGGCAATACGTATGTGCATAACAGGAATAGAGCAGGCACACCAGGTGAATAGCAATCAGCTGCCATTCTTCACATTGTGCTTACACACCTCGTTTTACAGCCACACACAGCATATCTGGCCCGAATCTGGTGGCTCGCCGTGGACCCGATCCCTTGACGCTTCCTACAAGTGCTTATCGGCCCCCACGACATGTGGTAATTAGTCGTCCGGATCGTGTTGTCGGCAGCAGCAGGGATGGCCCACTCATAATTAGTCGCAGTCGTCGTGACTTCCATGTCGGACGTCCCGATCGCACCGTTGACTACAGCGCTGGATCCGGTACTTTTGTCGTACAGCGCGGCCGTCGTAGTCCCGACACCGTGCACGTGAGTCGTCCGGATGGCCGTTCAGTGAGCTATGGCGATGGAGGTTTCATTGCCAATGGCCGTGATGGACGCACTGTGGCCCACTCCCGCCATAGACGCGCACGTGTCCAGGGCGAAAACTTTGTGGCACGCGATGATCAGGCCGGCATCTGGAACAACAACGTCTCTATTTGGAAGCGTCCCGATGGACGCACAGTTACCGTTGATAGCAATGGCAATGTCATCACCTCCGGTAGTCCCAATGGACGTGGCCCACAGCGCGTAAGTGACAAAGTTATTATGCTATATTTATATTTACTTAAAATATTCATATTATTATTCTTTCTTTTTTAGTATTCCGGCTAAGACAGGAAGGAAGGACTGAAGAGGCAGTAGTTACTGTTGTACGAAATAAATCTTAAATCGAATAAATTAAAATTAATGTGCACCGTCGTAGTGTATAATACATATATATGTAAATGTCAATGTAATTATTGGATAAAATGAAACCGTGTTTATCTTTAAATGTAGAACAGAGAAAGAAATCTTTTTCAAAGTGAGAGAGACTTGTCGTTTTGTTGGCTTGCTAATTGCTCTCTTGAAATTTGGTTTGTGATTTCTCAGAGCCTCAACGTATTCGGGGAGAAGAGTATAAATCAATAATTCATTTAAAATTACTTGCAATGCTCTAGATTTCTCATTCTAATAACTGAAATGCAGATTCAGTTATAAGACTATCAGGTCTAATCGAAATTTTAAAAGAGATTCCATAAAGATTGGTATGTTATAGCTCACTCCAACGTCTGGGTCAAAAATAAAAAAAGAGAGTATTTAATTTTCATCGCAATCGAATATGCATAATTTTAATTTAGCGAGCGGTGAAATAGATAAATTTAGAAACCCAGAACCAGGCCAGAAGGTTTCTACAGTATATAGTCTATACGAGGGCATATGTGTCTATATAACTACACAGATATACATATCCATGTGTGTATGTATGTGTTTATTTGTTTAGTTGACTCTGATGCTGTGAAAAAGCTGTATATATTTGGAAAATATTCGTTTTAAATCGTGAAGCTGTCACAGACTTGTTAAATATAACTATTTCAAGTACAAAATAGATACACCAATTCGTGTATAGACAGGTGATGGAGGCAGTTTGCCATTTCTTTCGTACCAATTATATATTAGCCAACTGCGAGGATGTGATACAAAAGAAGGGTTTCACGCTAAATCTGTCCCATTACCAAATGGACGAATTGCCCGAGATAATTGAGCACTGTGAAACGTTGATGAAGCTCTTTCTCAATCAAAATAAGCTAACCAAGGTTGTAGAGTGAACGAAATATATATGGATATGTTATATAGATCTATTTAATGTCCAGGTGCCCTCCAGTCTAGGCAACTTGATGCGGTTGCAGGTCCTGGCGCTGGACTACAATAAGCTCGATGAGTTTCCCGCTTGTGTTTGCCAATTGGTTCGATTGAAATTCCTGAATGTTAGCTGTAATAATATCGCTAGCCTGCCCGCGGAGGTGGGACAACTTACGGCCCTGGAGACATTCTGGTGCAACAATACGGGTCTCCGTGCGCTGCCAGCTGAACTATCGAATTGCGAGCATCTGGAGACGTTGGGAGTGCGTGGAAATCGTTTGTGCAAACTGCCCGATCAACTGGGCAAGCTGTCGGAGTTACGTTGGTTTACTGCCGAGAATAATGATTTAGTGCAAGTGCCAAATACATTTGGAATGATGCAGAATCTGGTACATCTGAATTTGAGGAAAAATCGTTTGAAACGGCTGCCACGCATGCTGATGGTCATGCCCAAGCTGAGATTCGTTTTCCTCAATGACAATCTCATTGAGCAAATGCCAAGTCGGGAGGAGCTGGAACAGCTAAAATACGTGCGCATGCTGAATTTATCCATGAATCCCATTAGCACCAAGCCCGAGATGCAGGAGCTGGCTAAAGTAAGTCCAGATAAGCCTTTCATTTCTGCTTGTTAAAGACTTCTCACATTTACAGCACTTAATGAACATTTATGTGGAGTCTGTTGAGGACTACCCAGAAACTGCCACCGGCAACCTTTTTAGTGGCAATAGCGACGCACAGCCACAGCAGGAGCAGGACAATGATACATCATCGGATTGGGCCAACAGTGCAAGGACCAGCCAATTGGATAGTTCCGATGAGAGCACACTGGAGAATACCATTGAAGATTTGAGCGTTATGTTGCCCGAAATGTCTCGATTTGTAACAACATTTTAAGATGATTAATCAAAATATATAAATCTGTTGCGTACCGTTTATTCGTGTCTGTCTGTGTGAAATTGGATGTGTGTGTAAGTGTAAAACGTAACAATTGAAATGCGCTTTGGCTTGGTAGCTGGACAAAAGCTACACAAAATATACAGATGGGTCAATATGACCAAAAACCTAGAAACGGGAAATTTAACTAGACATTTTCTTGATCAGCTCCTCGTCCTGCATGGACATGGCGGTCAGCTTCTTTCCAATCTTTTCGTGTATGTCCAAATACTTCGCAACACATCTATCGATGCAGACCATTTCACCTTTGCCTGTCGGAAAAGCGTCATAGTTATTTTGCTTCGTCAAAGAAACTTAATAAGAATAGAAATTTACCTAATTCCGATTCGCCGTAACGAGGCGGAATGCACTTTTTGTGGCAGGCATTGGTCATACGGTTATATAAATCCGACATCATCTCTATCTCCATTTCTTGCATCAGCTGCAATTTGGCCTGGTCGGCCACGCTTATTTGGGGCATTGCTGCCATGTTGTTTAATTTATTTTTATGAATTGATTATGTATTTCTTGTCTATTTTTTTTTTTTTTTTTTTTACAATTTTACTTTTGGTTTCTAGTCAAAACGCCTGACGGAAATAGTGTGATCGTATTCACCGTGGTTTGCCTTTCTCATGCGCTCTCTCACACGTAAGTTCTCAATCCTTCGGTCTTCGACTGATCTTTTTGACAAGACAAAAGCGTAAACTCCACCAACGGTTAAAAATGCCCTAATGTACACGCAATTTTAATTTAAATCAAGCTGATTCATTTACTACACATATGTTACGAACCAACAAACAGCAATTCGGCCAGCGTTTCCAAGCGGCATTGTTAATAGACACAGTGTGACTGTGATAATATGAATACGAAAATACTAAAACATTACAAATACCAAGTAAACGAAAAGCTTTTATTTTGACATTTACAAACGATAACAAGATATCGATTATAACTTTACGTGGTCGACTGTGCGACTGTAAATCAATTCAAATTCATATCAAATAGGTCAAATATTTCATTAAATATAATTCATAAAAATTGCATTTGGTATAGTTTTTATTGACAGTGCATCACAAACAGTTCTATATAAGTATGATAAGTATACACTGGAAATATGTATAAATATTTAACATAAAAAATCAGACTAATAAAAGCAATTTAAAATTAATATAGTATGTAAAAAATAAAAAATTATAAAGAGCGTACACGAACCATGAGAGCCTTGAAGAGTCATGATCACATTAACAGAGAAAATATGCAGTAAACAAATATTTAACAATATATAATTTTGGTGTTAGTAAATCAGAGATTAATATTCAATCACAATGTAATGCAGTGTATTATGTACATAGTACAAATGACTCCTAATAAAAACTAATATACATATATATGTATGTAGGAATGTATGAATTGTATGAAAATATGTACATATGTATGTACTCAATTATTGCACATTTAATTGAATGGATTTATCACTAAGCTGTGATAAGGTTTAGCTCGGCTTCACGCCAAACCAACTCATTTTCCAATTAAGCGTATCGTGCAACAGTTTTTCCTCCTCCGGTGAAAGTTGCAACAAAGTGGAAACTGCCCTCACCAGATGTCGTGCCTCGACCTGTAAACAAAAGACTTGGTAATCTAATATTCTGTATAGTTGAATTTAAATGCAAATACCTCTCTGCTAGTCAGGAATTTGACAATGACATGTTTTAGATACTTAAAATTTACTTCGTCCATTATAATGCAATTGGGCTTGTTGTCTGATTGAAAGTTCTCAATGGGAGCATTGGTCACTCTAAAGGCGGGTGTTACCTGATCCGTATCCACATCGATGGTTGCCATTTGTGAGCTGCGAAACTCCTTTTGCAGCGTCTTTTTAAGATCCCCCAAACGTTGATTTAATGTCTTTATTGTCTGCCAAGAAACGAAAGAAAATAAATAAAATGATAAATAATACAATTTGAAATAGGTCCTACCTTATTCTTCTCTGCAATTTCACGCTGACTCAACTCATATTTAGCCTGATCACTCGCACTTTGCTCCGCTGCATCCTTGAGTAAATGCAATGCTTGTCTAGCCTCTTGCAGATCCTGCTCGAGTTGCTTATTCTTGTCATGCAATTCATTGGACTCCGTTTGCTCCATGCGCAACTCCTTCTTCAGCAACTCTTCGCTCTGTGAAATCTCCGCATTTCGTAAAAGCGCAGTCAGTTTCTCCTCTCGTTCCACTTCTAATTTCATTTGCGTGTCACCTAGAATTTCTTGCTTCTCCATAACTTGAGAACGCAACTTTTGCGCAATTTGCTCGGCATTTTTCACATATTCACTAAATCTTTCGTCAGCGGTTGTAAGGCGAATTTTTAAATCTTTTGCTTCAGCTGCTAGCGTTTCCTAGATTTTTAAGTTTTATTTATTTAAAGAAGTAAGATAGGGTTTTTTCTCTTTCATTTTTTTTTTTTTTTTTTTGTAAACATAAAAGCGATTCAATAGAAAATTGTTAAATAAGAAAATGTGTTTCTCTTTGGTAAAACATGAAAGCAATTTAATAGATAATAGGATTAGATTATATTACAAAACTTTGTTAAATTAGAAAATGCAAAACAGAGGTAAATTAATTGTTATTGTACGTGCTAGGTTTTTTTCATTTTTGGTTAGTTATACAATTAGTCATGCCATTTAACTATGTATAGGTATAGGTATGTGTGTGTTTGGAATTGTGTATGTATGTGTTATTGATGCCACTGCTAAACGCCAGCTTCTGAAGAAAGGATACTCACAGATTTGTTGCGTTCGAATAGAATTTGCTGTTCGTTCTCTTCGCGACATTCCTTCAGAGCAACATTCAGTTCATCAAGTTCGTCCTCCAACAATTTAATCTACAATGCAATTAAAAAAAATTATTCATATGAAGAACTTTAAACTCCTTTCAAAAAATGATGCGACGTACCTTGTCATCTCTTTGCTTGATCTCAATTTTGGCTTTCTCGAGCTCAAATGAAACTTGTTTAAAATTTTCTGTGGCCTCGTCTCTTGCCTTTAAGGCTTTTCGCTTTTCGGTGGTTTCCTCGGCAACCTGTTGGGAGAGGCGACTCACTTGCTTCTCGAGCGCAAAATTTTGACCACTCCATGAGCTCTTGATGTCCGATAGCTGCAAGTGTGCTTCCTCAAGATGCTGCTCCAATAGTTTGTGCTCCTGTACAAGTGCCTGCACTTGTTGTTCAGTGCTCAATTGAGGCAGTACATCCAAACGAAGTTCCTCCACAATTTTCATACGCATTTTCATATTACGATTGTCCTCCTGCACGGCAGCGAGGGTTGTGGTCAATAGGCTCTTCTCCTGCTGTGTGGCATGACGCAACTGCTCTAACTCATCGCGCAGATCCTCAGCAATGGGTTCTATATTGCGCAAACGTTCCAGCTCCTGATTAAAGTTCTCGATTTGTTGTTGATATTGGCGTACGGCATTCATATGATCGACGGCTTCCTGTTCACGAAAGCCGAGTAAGCTTTTCAGCTTATCAATTTCGATTTGTTGCAATGTTTGTATCTTCTCCTGTTCCTCGCAATAAAGGTCCTTTTGGGTTTGGGCTACTCGCACGGTTTCCAATAAAATTTCATTTGTTTTGTCCACTCTCGTCTTCTCCTCCTGAAGCTGTTGCAAACTTTGGGTTAGGCAGGCCACCCTAGAGGATAGCTCGTTGCATTGGCTGCGTAGCTGGCACAACTGTTCCGACTGAATATAAACAGTTGTTTTTTTTTTTTGTTGTTGTTATGTATATAAATATGAGTTCTGTTTGCTCACCTCGTTGTAGGCTCCGCCCGTATCGTCAGCTACGTTCGAATTGATGCTCACACGACGGCTGCGTATGCGATAATTATTAATATTGTTATTATTATGACGCTGGTGTGTCTGGCTTGCCGACGTGGACACATCTTCGCCAGTTTCCTCCTTAATTTTGTTTTTTAGCGTAGCAAACATTTTTATGTGCTTGCCTGCCTTTGACTATTGCACGGTTAAGATTCGATGAAACGTTATTTGGTATGAAATGGATCGCGTTGCGACACAACAGCGTTACGGCCGCTTTGTTTTTATATCATTGCTCCAATTAAGGTGTGTTTTGGGTTTAGGCTTATCAAAGAAATGTAAATCTATTTAAATTTGCAGTCTATATATGTTTCTTCTTCTTATTAGAAGAAATACGTGCAGCGCCGAGCTTGCCACTGAGTTAAATTCTCATATCTGGCAGCACAGCTGTAAGGTTGCTATTGTGATTATCGATAAGACTTAAAATTATAGACGCCAAAAACATCTGAAGAGCGCGCTAAATTTTTATAATTGTTTAGAATAACATTTGAGTAATAAAGTCTAAAAGTAAAATTTTAATAAACAGTTAAGATATTGGTCCGAACTAAGGAAAATGGATCAGGACTATTCGAAGCAAACAACTCGAGACATTTGTGACAGTGATGCAATGTGTACGTCGTCCTTAAAGGAAATCTCCTTAATAGAAACTGTGACAAGTTTTCTAGAAGAGAACGGCGCTGGCGAGGTCGATCCACGGATTTTGAAAAACTTGGCAGAGGCTCTGTCCAAACGCATAAGCACAGATGAGTGAGTACTAATTTGATTTGTTCTTATTGTGCAAGCCGCATGCAGTGTACCTACATGCATAGGTGCGCGAGTGTGCGTGTGTTGTAGGTAGCTGCGCCTTTGAAGTTTTGTTTGGCAGTGCAATATTGCAAGTGCAACGCACATTTTGGCTTTGATCCAAAACTAAATTTGGATTCATTAAAATGATAAATTGAAGCACACACGACATACGCATGTATGTATATATTTACTAATGCCAATGCTCAGCCATCCGCATCTGAGTACTAAGTGGACAGAACTGTATGATCAAAGATCATGAGCATTGGTGCCGCTCATTGGCAGGTTCTCCCTCACTCGCTGGTGAGTAAGTGATGAGCATACATGTGTGCATGTGTGCGTGTGTGTGTACATAACCCACCCCATTTGCCCGCGAGAGCAAAATCCAACACACAGGCATTTGCCATATGTGGTGGGTGAGAAAAAGAGCGCACGCTACGTACGGAAAACACGAGCGCAACATCTGTCGTGCGTTCGAGCGGAGCGCGTTTTCCTTGCAGAGCAAACGTACTCTCCTATGGGATGAACGGCGGATGATGCTGCTGCTGCCCACTGTGGTGGGGTTTTTCTCTCGTTATCGCGATGCGCATTTTCAGTAATATTCTGGCATTCGGTTCAATTAGACATACCATACGTACAATATATGAAGTGAACTTCAACCTAGTATATTTCAATTGTATTTTTGTTCGTTTGTTGTGATTGTGCTTCTTCGTTTAACGCCTATCAGTCTTTCTTTTTGCGCAATATATACAAACATATGTACAGACGAACACACAAATAAATATTAACATACATATATAACGCTACTCGGCGCGCGGTTAAGCAAATAAAGACCCTGTATATATAAATACATATATACATATACAAATATATGCGCGTGTGTGTGCAAATATGCAACAACAAAAGTGAGCATAAGATAGCTGTTTTTTTTTAATTCATTGTGTGTTTTATGTAGATAAAAACCGTTGATGAATGCTCTCCTATAGTGTAAAAAGATACAATATTCTTATATAAATTAAACAACCTATCTACATGCTCATATGTGTTTTATGAGTGTGTGTGTGTGCGTCCGTGCATGAGAGTGCATGTGTGTACGTGCATAAATTACGGCTACGCGCGCCTCATCTTGTTGTTGATTTCCTTTGTCGTTGTTGTTGTTGCTGCTGCTGCGGCTGCATCTAAATTTAGTTATGGAAAAATATAACACATCTTTGTACATACATATCTATATCTATATATATATATATATATAATACAATATATATAACTGCGTATTATTGTGCTCGATTAATCGAGTAAATGAAAACAGATAAAAAGTCTTCTAATATAAGACAGATATATAGACTGTATAAGACTTTTGTTAAAGTCCTCTTAAAGCGGATATATGCACTCGGTATTCAAGTGGCAAGTTCCTTGGCTTATATACACACGTTCCTACTAGCTGCCTTTGACCTTTGTTATGAACCCCCTAAAAACCCTGCACTGCATTGTTACAAGACCCGCAGCTTTCCCTTTGCACCACCACAAATTCGGATGTTTGTTTGGTACAGTTTGTTTTGTGAATGCTAGTTTTGTATATGTTTGATCCTTTCATATATTATTTCTATTCAAATATTATGTGCTTGCCCGAATGCACCTCCGCCTTTGTTTTTGCAGTGTATGATACATTTTTCACAAATGAGTTCAACAATTCAAATATGGTCAAGCAGAAACAGTCGAGTATCTTGTCTAACGCTCTAGATTGAGGAAAACTGTGCGCGGGGAAAACTACATTTAGAATGCATTTTCGTCGTCGCGCTTTTTGGCGCCAATTGATCTTAATTATTCTCAATGACCATTTATATATAGATAATTATTTCGACTGCAATTAACTTAGTTCAGGTAGTCAGCGTGATAGAAACATACAGGACACATATGTTGGCCTCTGAACAGCTGTTACAGTTACAGTAGACGTTCGTTAAGTACACTATTACAGTTAGCATGTGGTAGAGAGGAAAATCTATAGCATCTGTAATATTATATAAATGATTGTTCTGGAAAAATCATGAAACTAGAAAAATAGATGACTATGTGACATATGTATAGACACTATTTAGAAATATACTGTTAGCAAAACATTTAAGTATACGAAGTATACCTATTCCGAAATTTCTACTTTGACATAGTTTTTTTTTATTACTTATAAAGTTTTACAAGTCAAATTTATTGTTTTGAACAGCTCTATAAACAGTTTTTGAAAAAACTTTTTTATTTATGAATTTAATTAAACACTATACCTTATTAAAAAGCACAATTTCAAGATTCTAAATTTTTTTACAATAAGAATTATTTCAAATCATTCAAAAGTAACCAAATTTGCCATTGTTAATTCAGTTTTGATAATTTATTTATTTTAATATATATTTAAATGCAAGCCAAATCATGCCGAGAATAAGAGAAAGAAAGTCGAGTTTCGACAAAGTTAAGTAAGTTTAATATGTAAATTATAAACTTGGGTGAATACTCCTATGATTTTATGTTTATGTATGTGAATTACCATGTAGCACATCGTTGGTGGTCTGGGTAATTCATAGTCGAGCATTCTCTACTAAAGGAATTCTGCTTTAAATTTCTTTCCTCCCTTGCTTCTATTATAATTGAGTGTAAAACTCTCTGCCATTCTTCAATTGACCACTGTCAGCACTGGAGGTACTCAACATGTGTGGCTACACACTGTAGTACACCTGTTGGTGGACCTTGCCGTGCGCGCAATCCTTAATAATTGTGTATATACACGATTTGATGGGCCCAGCTGACTGTAACCATAGCTATGGCCAAAATAGCCAGGCGGGTCAAAACAAAGCCTAACAACAACAATAGCAACAAATAGTGGCCAATAAATTGTAGTCGTACATCAGCTCATAAGTTTTGGTATTTGTGTTTTTGCTCATTTCCCAAAATAATTCATAGAGGAGACACGCACGTGAAATTGTGCAAATGTGAAAATGTGAAAATGTGTGGCCCACATGTGTCGCCGGGTCTGCAAATTGCAAATTGCGTATAGAAACTGCGAGAAGTGATAGCTACGAATGCAGCCAAAATATATAAGAAAAAGCTGATATATCTATGCTGCTCAGATAAAGAAAGCATAAAACATCTCCTGTGATGTGCGGCGATGCTGCGTAGCATCATTTTGGGAGCATTTGCCCAAGCAATGCAAGCGCCTTGGCTGGCTGCCTTAGCTGCCAATGACTCATAGAAGGCGCACGACGCACACACACGGACATACTTATATATATACACACACATATCTATGTGTTTTGTGGTATAGAGTACTTATACCTGCACTGAAGTTGCTTTTATTTAGATTCGGTGTGCCGCAAAGCTATTTAGGATAAGCACAACAACAACAACAACAAAGCAACAAAAGGGATGACGCATTCGTTTGACTTTAAATAAAATCAAAGTCGGGATTCTTATATGTGTATATATATATATATATTTCAAATCGTTTCGTTCAGTATATTACATGAACTGGAGTGAACTATACTTAAATAAACCAAAAAGTCTGCAGTTTTAATGCCAAACCAATTAAAGTCTTATCATAATGGCGGGCTTATTTCGTACGAACTCTGTGATCGGCACAAATGATTCCCCTAAAAGATCACCATTTAAACGATTTTCGGTTTGTTCTGGAACGCCGAGCACTATTTGGTAAGTTTCTATACAATGTATTTCGAAAAGTATTCATTAGTATACTAGAATACTTTAAAAAAGTTCTGTTAACACTTTTATATATCCTCTATATTTCTCTGGTAAATCAAACATAAATACACAAGTTTCGATAGATTTCTTGTACTCTTTTTTTCAATTACCACAAAGACCAAGTTTAATTACGCTAATTTCGGCTGACTGTGGCTTTCAACTTTGTGACTTACATTTTATTATATCCATTCACATATATGGTCTCAGTTTATTTGAAATTAAAAGTTTCATTGATTTGGCAATAAAAAAAAGTAATCAAGGTGTGCCATTTCTATGCTACCGAAACAATTTATACGCTTCAGTTAGCGCGGCTACAAATTTTTTGGCTATTATTTCTACATATGCTGCAGTATATATAGAGATAGAGAGATAGAGATATATTCATATGTATGTCATGTGCAATAAAAATGATTTGTCGCTGGGCTTTTGATCAAATAAGAAATAAGTAAATAAGACTTTTTGCAAGCTTGAGAGTATGTCAACATCTGGTTGATAATTGAATGCTTAATCAACTTAGTTATATTAATGAAAATCGTATAGAGAGACAGCACATATAGATGTTTGGAAATGTAAATTGCTTCCATTAACTGACAATTTAAATACATGAGAACTGCATAGAGGGGTGCGAAATGAATACCTTTAGCAATTCCAATTAGATTTTTCTTTTAAACTTCCTTAATTAGATACAATCAATGCTAGCGCCATTTAGTGATCACTGATCAGTGTACGGTATTATTGAGTCGACAAGTCTGATTACTATTTGATTTATTGATAGAATTATCAGTTGTATTTATATATGTTTGCATGTCGATAGCAGTTAATTATAGTGGCTTGAAGTAGCATTAAAACAATTCAAACCCGTTTTATTTTGACCTCTAGACTAGAGATGACAGCGTGTTGAAAATGTAATTATCAATTAATTTTTTATATAATTTTAATAGTGGACAGTGTGATAATATATATGTGAATAGATATGTATATATAAATATACACAAAACTTTAGTTGTGGAAGCTTTAATAGTAAAGCTTTTCTCTGCCAATTTGCTTTAGTACTCTTATGAGAATTATATAGAGAGGAGCAATCTGAGTTCTTATGAATTCATAAAAGTAATAGAATAACTCATATATAGATAATTATTTTTCGTGCTTCTTAGATATAATTTAATAATATAACGATGATTGGCTTGCCCATCTCTAGGGCATTGAGCTTGAGGTGTCTTGAGTTCACAGAGTTAGCTCAGTAGCTAAATGTTAGTTTAGTAGAATGAATAAGTTTGCTCTGACTAGCTGGATGTGCCTGCTAGGGCTTAGCTCTATGTTGGCCTTACGTTTGGAGCCTTGCGAGCTAGCTGGCCAGCTTTATATATTGGATGTACCTAAAGTGGAACTGCCCCTATGGTTGTGCATAGCCGATTACGAGAGTCGCTTTAATACCCATGTTATCGGACGGGCCAATTCGGACGGCAGTCGGGACTATGGACTCTTTCAGATCAGCGATCGATATTGGTGTGCCCCGCCGGAGAAAACAGCCTACCACGCCTTCAACGAATGCAATGTGAACTGCACCGAGCTCTTGAGCGATAATATCACATCGGCCGTTCGCTGTGCCCGACTTATCAAGAAGCAACAGGGCTGGACGGCCTGGTCTGTTTATGCAGAGTTCTGCAATGGAACGCTTACGGATGCGGACGAGTGTTTCCAGCAAACAACCGAAGCAGCTACAACCGAACCGATTCTGCAAATAGAAACCACAACCTTTGACCCGGAAATGGATTAAACTGTTGTCATATTTTGTATTCAGCTCTTATCACTGCCTCTTTAAATGAATTATATAGTTTTAAAATATATATTAGTGGTATATCTGACAATACTCGGCATTGCGCATAGGAAGCATAGGAATTGGAAAAATGTAATACCTATATATAATATAAATAT